TTCAGAAAATATAAATACATACACTTCCAGTGTTTAAGGCATTATCTAGACTAGATCAGAAACTGGTTTTGAACTAAAATGATAACTTAATTAAGAAGCAAAAGGAAGGCAAGTTTCTAGTAGCTAGTAATGATAATTGGAGCACAGATGTCATACAAATATATGATTGTAGAGTAATAAAACCATAATGAAATTTATTTTAATAAAATTTTGCTGAAGTTGAATATGAAAATTATTTAAAGAAGCTTGGATTCTACACAGATATAATTCTAGTTCGCTTTCTCTTAATGAGCCATCATATTTGTTGCTCTACTATAAAATTCATCCTTGCTTGACCTTGACATTTCCTGTAACTACTACTTCATATTTTACCTTCCTTTATTCAACACTGTGCTTAAATTGTTCTGTTTCTGTTCATGCAATAACCTTGACCAATTTCAATCAGGCTTTTTTTCCCCTCATCATAGCAAAAAACATTATCCTCATGTTTGTGGGGGGTTTTATATTATATTTTATTAAATTCATTTCAGGCCATTTTGATATTCTATGATTCATTGAAAAGAAGCTGAAACAGTTTACAAAGCCACTCACAGGTAGATAGATAGATAGATAGATATCCTATCCTATCTATCTCACTAACCTGTTTAAGTCAGATATGGTTAGCCACACTTATAAATCCTTCCTTTATAGGAGAGAGTTAAAAGTGACTTATCTATCTGTCTATCGATAGATATATAGAGATAGGTCTAGAAGTAGATAGATTGATAGATAGATAGATAGATCACTTTTAACTCTCTCCTATAAAGGAAGGATTTATAAGTATGGCTAACCATATCTGACTTAAATAGGTTAGTGAGAGAGCAGAGCTCACACCTGAGATGTAACTGCACACAAGTGCAAATCAGCATAGCTTTGCTGGTTTTAGCCAGATTGCTCTACATACCACAGGATCAAGTCCTGAGTGAGTTTAAGTATGCACAACCATTTAATTCACCTTATCAAAAAAGTCAAAAGCATTAAGTCTTTTCCAATCATTTCAGAAAACATGTTCAGTTTCGCTTTGGGTTTAGCTAAGAAAGAGAATCTATCTTTGATTGACAAAACTCCATGGGCTTTTTTTTTTTTTTTTTTGGGGGGGGGGGG